CGCACTGCCTGCGTCTGAGTAACAAACTAAAAAAAAACAACAAACAAAAAAGTTTGCATGTGATATTAACAGACGAACTACGCTCAGGTGCTTGGAAACGCTGTTTTGTACTAATTTATTGACATTTATTCAGTACTAACTGAATGCGCTGCTTCTCTGCCACTCACTGCACAGAACAGACGCCGAGAGAGGTGACACTTCTCCGGGAAAGTCAGACCCCACGTTCGCGGGACAGCACTGGCGAAATCTTCCAACTGAACCATAGATAAGGTTTATCCAATAAAGTCGCTCGGTTTGTCAGTATGAATGTTCTATGGAAAAAAGCCGCTAAAAGGGTCTGAAAGTTGCTAAATCTAGTGCTAAAGTCGCGCTCGTGTGTGTGTGAGATGCGGGAGCTGATGGCAGCGGGCGCTGGATATTTGTGGCGGTCAGTGTGGATATTGTGGATGAGTTCTTCTGTCATCACGTTCTATTAGTTCTACAGCTTCAGTTTCGGAACTTTCACGCTTAGTAACACATACAGCTGTTCCCTCACCGCAGTGCAACAGTGAAAAGGGACCCCTTTCAAACAGTGTCGCATTCCGAACGTTGTTTAAGCGACAAATACTGGTATTGCGGTATTTTAAAACATTCATTAATCTGGCTGTTTGATGAAGAGATAAAATGTAGTAGAAATAAACATGTTAAGAATCAATAGAAGCGGAGGATTATTATTAAGGTTTTTTTAGGACTATTATTATGTTGTAATGTTTGGTTGACCAATTAGCAGAGAGGGGCGTTTCATTCCCGCCCACATGTAGAGATGAATATTCAAGTTGTTTATTCGTTTTCTATCCCTGAATGTAAAAACGAAAAATTAATCCGGATTCTTGATTTTTCGTTTTGTTTGAATAATTGAAAAACGAAATATGTGCCCGTTTTTCATTTTTCAGATTTCAATATTAAAACAAAAATTGATTGGACGGAAGATACCCTGATTCGCCCAGCACTAATTTATAGCTTCTTTGTTTTCAGTGTACTCTTGCAGAAGAAAATTCTGTCGCTTACTCAACCTCATTTAATTGTTGTTCCAAGAATGTATTTCTTCTTCAAAACACAAATAAACACATATTAATGCACAAACAGAGCTTATCAAATATGGTCAACAGAAGCTCAACTAAGTAAGCAAGCATGTTTGAGCTTCCATTGATCCGTTGATTTATTCTATTTATATACGTTAATCAATGATTATATTAGCATTTACATGTAATGCATTTAGTAGATGCTTTTATCCAAAGCAACTTACAATAGATGAGCATAAGCAATTCATCACAGAGGCAACAATATTTGCAGTATGCAATGCCACATTTATTAGAACGCTAGATTAGGAAACAAGCTAAAGCAGAGGAGAAATGCAGAAAAGAGAAAGGAGGATTTTTTATGGTTTATGGTTGTGGAGTGGTCAAGTGTCGGAAAATGTGCGCCTTCAACTGTTTCTTGAAAGTTGTGATGTTTTCAGCAGTTCAGGTGAACATGCATCGTTTAATCCTGCACATCCATTATTGTGCAGTTTTTTTTTTTGTCCGGGAGACATCACCATATAATAAGTCATAAACCTGTCATGAATTTGTTTACACGCTCTTGTGTTTTGAGCTGAAAAAGTTGTGAAAATGTGTGTACCATGATATTTGACTATAGATGTAATGAATCAGCTGGATTGATTACGGTCTGCAGGGATAGTGCAGCCAAATGAGTTGAAATTAATAATGTCTCTCTTAGATGATCAGT